GTGCCATCGATGCCGTCGATGACGATCTCATGAGGGTTTGTCGCAATATATTCTTCATGGGAACCGTCTATCGTATGATAGGTTTGGGACTGTTTTACGACCACAACAATGATCTGTTCGTTAAAACTAGTTTTCAATCAATACATGATCTTTGCTTTAAGAGATCTCATCTCATCAGTGATATTCACAAAATTGAAGACATTTTGTTCACAATTAAGAAGAAAATAATGAAAAGCAATGATTAGCTTATAATGACATTATGATAAGTGTCACACTATTTAATACTGTACTGTACCATGCTCATACTTCCAATTTTTATATAATTTATAAGAATCTATTTAAACTAAACTTTTGAATTGTGTATATTTTAAGTTAAAACTATAAAAATTTAAAAATAAATAGCACAAATTAACGTATAATAGTTATATAACTAATTGTAACAAATATTTTCAACTATTAAATTGAAGTTTTATTTGTTTTAAATGACCGTTAACTACGGTAAAAACTTGTTTTCCAAATGTTTTATACAAACATGACTTGATAACTCACTTGTGAAGCATTCAAATCACAAATCACTGTATGCCAGTATGTAGCATCTTGGCCACTGTATGCCAGTATGTAGCATCTTGGCCACTGTATGCCAGTATGTAGCATCTTGGCCACTGTATGCCAGTATGTAGCATCTTGGCCACTGTATGCCAGTATGTAGCATCTTGGCCACTATTGGCCATATTACAACATTTGTAATCTCATTTTCACAACTCATACACAAATATAATTATTTTATCAATGGGGCGGAAATTATTTAAGGGGCAATACTTTTTATAAATACTTTGACTAATATAATGTATGCTATGTGATCTTATATGATAGGTAAATTACAGTATTACCGTACAAGTTTTATTCACCGAAATACAAAGTTTTTATTTTAATTTATGAAATTTTATTATAATTGAATCAATCAAATAATTAGTCTTACGACTGACTAATTATTTTCATTAAACAATTTAAAAGTTATTAACAAATGTATTAAAATTATAAAACTAATTATA